GTTGGCTCGGCTTTCCCCTTACTTTGTAGCGCGGCAACCTGCTTCAATCTGCGCCGGCGCGGAGTTTGCCACGTCGGCCGGACATTCCTTCGGGAAGACTTGTCCTTCCAACCCTGCAGCTTGGCCATTTTTTGCGGGCGGCAGCTCCGTAATCGGACACCAATCTCTGCGATTCCACGATGGTACGACCCGCCGCCTTCGTAGCCAGAAAGTTGCTCGCGTCGACACGCATGTATCCTGCTTGGCCTAGCACTGGCCCTTGGAAGTAGGACTAAGTAGGAGCGTGCTTTGATCCCCAAACTTACACAGCATTTGTGAAGACCATGTGGCATATGGGTCCTTGGCACTCCAGGCCCAGACGCTTGATGTTAAACGCTCGGCAATGTCACATGAGTAGCAACCATGCAGAACTCACATCACCAGCTTCGTCGCCTGAAGCCTTCGCCGACGCCAGCGGGCCCTTCGGGTCTGGGGTGTCCTCTATGAGCGGGCTGATCTGTCGTCATAGTCACGTCATGGTCACCAGGAATAGTCACGACGATGCCGGTGCTTTGCCTGCCAGTAACGCGGCGTATGGCCGTCGAATGACTTGCACGCCAGTCATCCACGATTCATAGATTGCCTTGCAGAAGGACGCGTCAATGATAATACTTGGCGGCGATACTGCTGGCGCAACGGGCTCGCCATCTTCGGCCAAATTGCGCGAAGCTTGTCCTCCTTGAGTCTGCTTCGGCGACATTCTCGTCGACTCTATCCATTTCCTCGAGGATTGGCTCTTGCTCTTCAGACGCGACCGTGTCTGCACCCTCACCATCAACACTGCCAACGCCAAGGACAAAGCACTCCAAGGCGAAGACAATGGAAGCCTGAACCGTCACTCACGCGAGACATCCCGTTCAAGGAGCCACCGGCTGGGAGCGACGCCAAAACAAGGAGGCGCATTTAATCATTGGACTGGATAATAAAATTTGGTAAGAAAAAAAGTTGTAAGGCTTGCGATGAGCTACAAAGCACCCATAACAAGGCTTGCCGAGATGGAGCGGGCCGAACGGTCAGATGAAGTCGTCAGCCTACCCGCCGATGCCCCAGACCGCGAAGACCCTTTCTTGACAAGGAACTAGATTCAGTAAGCCACTGGGAAGCCGCAAATCCCATCGCCCCTCGTGACCATCTTTTCTTGTCTGGAGCAGGCACTGCGTCAAATGTAAAAACCGAATCGCAAAATCAAGGCCCCTTACTTTTGCATCATAGTGTGTTGGGCGACAAGCTGCCTGGCTGCGGGCAATCTCTTCACGTGTCTAAGAATATCTCTGGCATATATACTGGCACACAGTGTACGGGTAAGCCTGCACACGTAGCTCCTGCGCCTCCAGTGCATTCGTGGAACGCACAGCAGGCTTGAACCACAAGGCAGCAAGGCAGCGGTGGCCGCTGTCTTGTGGAAAAGCAGATCTGTCACCCGGACACAGCTTAAAAGTGCATTTTGGGCGCCTCGCGACAATCGCGTCGATCCAGGTTGGGGAGCTAGCGCAGCCAGCGCAGCATTACAGGAAATGAAAGCGGCGTATCGTGGCCCGAGGGGATTATGCCAAAGACGAGCTTGGCACAACCGCCATGTACCAGGAACTCTCTCCGACAGCTGTCCTCCAAGGATGGCAAGACTGCTTGGCCTATTACTAGCGGCAGCTGCCGGGAAACAAGACAACTGCAGCTGACGCGGTCAAGTTTGTTGGTAAACTTAACTTTTCACGCACAATTGAAAAGCCGGATGTTTCACAAGAAGCGTTGCTTGAAATCAGCCCATATGGAAGGAAACCGCGCACTTGTAAATAAGATGATTTCTTTAGTTAGTGATCTTCTTCATTGATATTATGAGGGCAAGGCTTTCAGCGCAGCAGCGTCACTTTGCCATCTTTGGACAAACTCCAGGCGTTGCTTTCATCAACTCCTCAAGTGTCACCAAGACATGTTGCCTACGCCTTTGACACACTGCGAAAACTCTTTCTTTCAGGAGCTTATCCTTCTCTACAGAGCACACGCCAAAGCGACGCAGTCATGTCTCTCTTGAAAAAGCTTACTATTTCCACATCGGAAAAGATGTGAGCGCCAGCACGAAGGACGCCGCCACTCACTTGCACACTTCTGAAACAAGCGACATAGCCATGGCCTACAAGCTTGTTGGAATCAAGTCTTTGGGAGGGGGCAGGTTTTTTTTTTGCTTTCACGGAACATGCATCATCTGGAGACAGGCAGATGTGTTCTTCTTGATCATTAAGCAAGAGAAGTACTCCCTTTTCCAACTGTTCCGGTCGAGGAAACCTTACGGCTTCTTGTTTGAATCTTCCGTTTTTTCTTTCGCTTTTTCTTTCTGCAGGCCACTAATCCTTTGCCAGGCCCATGGTTCGGGAATGCGCAAGCTGAACTGGGGCCTGACATACTTCCAGGTGTAGATTACTTGCAACTGCGGCAAATGTTGCCTTTGCAAGTTAAACTTGAACTTCTTGCACCTTGTGCAGGCCTTCCGCTGGATTCTTTAACTGCAAGATTGATTTGGCTGCAGAGCCAGGAATCGTAGGTAGGATCCGACGGACCATCTCAGTATCCACCTTACACGCATAAAAATGTAATTTCATCCATGTCTCCACTGCGAAGTGACTCGGAGAGGAATCCTCGATTCTGGCCCTTGAGGCCTTTCAGCTTGGCTTTGGTCAAACCCCTTCCTTTTAAAATGCTTGCCTTGTCTGATGCACTCCCGCCTCCATCACTAGCGGCTTGCTCTTCCTCATCCGGTTGTGCGGTATGAGGTTTCTCATCATTACCTAGGGGTCTGATGAGGGGCTTCATCAGAGCTCCCGTAGATGCTGCCGGCTTACTGTTGCTGCGGATGGCATCCTCACACCTTCAGGCGCATCAGCGTGCAAAAGTCCTGCAATATACTGCAGCACTCAAGGCGAGTAGCCTACAACAATCAGTAAGATAGGGGATGATGCTGTGGGCTCGCCTTGGCCCGGACACGGAAAGTACCTGCCCCACCGGCTGCAGGTCTGTCGCCTGCTCCACTACCAGCGTTGGTAATCATAGGGTCCATTAGACTGCGAAACCTTTTGCTCTGACTCACGGCGCCTGAGATCCAGCACCGCAACAGAGACGAATAGGAACAACATGACTACGCAACAGTGAGATTCACACCAACATTCTGTTCAGGGTATGTTGGAGAATCAGCATTCCACTATTAAGGCAAATCTCGGCGGAACGCTAGCCAAGCAGCCGTGCTCCACACCCTAACCCCTAACCCACCCTGGGCCACGGGGAGACCCTCGCGCCCGCCTTCACGGCGCCTTTCTCCAGCAGCTGTTGACACTCCTCCGTGGTCGCATACGTGAAGGCGGTACGGCCTAAGGCCAGGCGGGCCAAGAGTGGGAAACTGCCCCCAATAATGCAGCGTACGACGACGAGAACTGATGCAATGGGATTGCACCCTGAATCTGAGTCAAGGCTTCAAGCATCCAAGTGGATGAGCAGACTGTGCCCGCATGAGTTCCGCACCAGACTTGTCCACAATGTCCTGCAGAAAGTGTGAGCACGCTCTTGGACATGCATTTGCTTGTTTTCTTTGCAAACGGAGGCTATTACCTGCTCTGCTGCATTTGCCACGAAGCCCTGTGGGCAACTGTGCCTTGTCCGCGTCGTTTTTTAGCAGCTCTCGGAGGCACTCTGCCCGGCCATGCACAACTGAGAGCATCAAGGCTGTGCGGCCTTGGTAAATGTGCCAGTTGCGAACCCGAGTTCAGAATGTCGCCATGCAGAGCCAAGCCCCCGACCGTGACGATCCTTGACATTGACATCCTGTTGGCACAAAACATCACAACACTTGATTTGATTATCGCAGAGGACCACTGCGAACCCCGAAAGGCATCAGGAGCAAGAACATTGGAGAATAGCTTGCGCAGGCAGCGTTTTCCTTGCCTCTTCCTGTCCACTTTCCAGCAGCTCCCTGAGGGCCACAAGGTGGTTCGTGGCGGCAGCCAGGATCAGTGCCGGCGTGCCTCGAGCACAGAAATAGTAAGAGTGGTTGTTTTTTGCTTCGTATGCGTTGCGGAGCTTGCGAGACAAAACAGATGCGTTCTTGACCAATATAGAGTTGAATAGGTTTTTACAGGAAAATGCTAGATTTCTTTAAAAGACCCTATCAAAACGTTAAAGATCGTTAAAGCCTAGATTCGTCAGGCAATTCTCTCGCTTTTCTAGAAAACAGATGAAACACGCATTAAAAAGAAACTCTCTCAATCTCACACACAAACCCGCGCGCGCGATCGTGCGCGCGCGGACAAGCAAAAAAAAGCTCGTTCCAGCACAGCAATTTGCCCCTAGCATGCATGCATTAGAAAGGAAACAGAGAACGGAGCTGCCACTGCTGCAGCACAACGTGACAAAGTTTTGAGAACCTCATTGGTCAGTGGGAGAGGCATCTCCAGGCTTCCGGCCATTCTCATCACAAGCATTTGGCTCCACAGCCTTGCATTCAAAGCTTCAGCCCCAGCGAGCACCAGCAGCACTGGCCTCGTCGCTCCTCTCCAGCAGCTCCTTCAGGGCCGTGGCAGCGCGGAAGAGGGCCTCGCTGCCTCGGCTGGGCGACGCCGCCTTCCTCGTCCACTTCTTTTCCCGACAAGGCCAGAGCCAAGCCCCGGGCTTCCAGACGCCAGGTCACGGGGATCCTGGCGGGAAGGTGAACGCACAACACATACATAGCGCTGCAAATGCTTCCACGTCTGCTGGAGCCAGGGCCTTGTCATCCGGATGCGTTTCCATGAGAAGCTGGAGGCCAGCGTCGTGCTCTAGCGCCATGGAGACTGCAGTTTGGTCTTTCACGAGTCTCCAGATGTCGGCTTTATATAGCATCAGGTGTCGTGCCACTTTTAGGTGGCCTCTGGTGAGAGCCTGACAGGGAGACAGAACTGGTTCCGTTCAGAAAGCACAGAGCTGGTTGCACGACATTGCGCCTGATGCAAGGGCCGCCGGCCATTCTCGTTTTCAGTGTCGGGGTCTTTCCAGTCCCGGAGCTTTTCCAGCACCTTGGCCTCGTCACCGTCGAAGGCCCTTAGTCGGCGTGCATGCGGAGGCAGCATGGCCCACGCGGCGCGGCTGAGTGGTGCGCAAGGTGACGAGCTCGGAGCTGTTCTGCAGACGCTTTTTGACCTCTGCTTCGAAGGCTTTGTTGGAGCGCTGCAGCTCCTCCAAGCGGAAAGTCTTGAACGCAAGCACAGAAGCCTGACGCGCAGCTGGCCTCGACGCCCAGCTTCTGCGACAGCATGCATACGCACCTGCATAAGTACCAGTAAGGCCCATGCAGCCCATTCAACCTACACATGCCCTGAACCCCTGAACCGACAACCTTGGCTGATGTGACTGATGCCCCCACACACCCTGCATCTCGCGCTGGCGCCGGCCTTGCGACCGGCTCACTCTCCGGGAATACTCTCTGCTGGAGGCGGCCTTTGGCACCAGGCACCCAAGGCCGGGAACCCCGAGAGCCTAACTGGATGCCGCAGCCTTGCAGCCAAGTGTCCCAGCGTTAGGGCTGTGTGACCGTCCTTGTCCAGCTTATTTTGACAGGCGTTAGCGCTGATCAGCGCCCATGCGGCACAGGAGTGGGCGTGGTACATCGCCTGAAGCAAATTTCGAGCTGAGGCCACCGAGGCAAAAAGGTGTGCAAAAGCAGGTGGTGAGACGGGAAATCTGGTAGGCACCTCATGCAGCGCTGTTCGCCCGGTCTCCACATCGGTGAGGTTGACATCTGCCCTGTACTCCAGGAAGAGGCTCCTTGCTACGACGGGACTTGAACGGATGAGGCTGTAGCAAGGCAACGTGACAGTGCATTTTTAGAAGTTGCTTCATGACCCGACAAGCCTGTTTATACCATCATAACCTCAATGCTAATTTGTCACAGCCCACTATTGGACAGCATCAGGCGCTCTACAGATTGATGGGCTTGAAGTCAAGCTGCACAAGATCTGCGTTTCCATTTGCAGCTGCGCAATGCAGAAGGGGAGACTTGCGCTCGTCGAGCACAGCTTGGATAGCCTCATGAGTGGAAACTACAAGCTCTGCTCCAATGCCCGGAGAGAAAGGTGGCACGCATACACACATGCAGGCAGCTGCCTCTGGCTGATCGGCCCACTTCAAGGTTTTCCTGCACCTGGTCGTGTTATTGGCTGCAACATCGGCGACAAGCTGGCGCTTGATCTCGAAGCTTCGGTGCCCGCTGGTTTCCTGCCATCTTTCTCAAAGGGCAGCCAAAGTTGCTGAGTAGAGAAGATATTAATTTTGTACCGTCCTTGACGAAGAGCATGAACTTGGTATTCATCTGAAGTTCGCACATCAGTCCCTTCTGTACACAAACGGTGAGTTGCAGGTCTCGGTAGCCACCGTCCAGGCAAGCTGTTTGGAACCTGGCTCATGAAGAGGAAGATGGCGAGGGGGGGGGATGGGTACAGAAAAGAGAGAGGGGAGGCGTGAAGAGATGCAGGGATGGAGGGAGGTGGGTCAAGGATGCACACACTGAGCCCTGAGCCGATCATTGAGCTCCACGATCTTAACTCTTTCATCCTGCCAGCTATACACGCAAGTCAGAGGAGAAAGCCAACAGGATGCATCCAAAGGCATCTCCTGCTCAATCAACTTGAGGCCCCGGTACATGTCTGACACAGTCTCAAAGATAAGGGTGTCGCGCACGATGTCGGTGAGTCTATGCCTGGCCAAAAGCATCGGAACTTGCCCCATGAGTGGACCGTTGCACCATCACGCTTCACTGCTGCAATGGCTCGAATCAGGTACCCTTGGCTAGATTCTAATCGTGGAGAATCATTTGATGCTGAGGTAAGGCTGGGTAAGGCTCGCTTGGTACCAGCCGCGGTCACGGGACGAAATGTCGGCACAACCTCTCACCCTCGTCAGGGGACTCGCTTTATCCTGCCTGCACAATGGGCAAATGTTGGGTCGGGCTGCCGAAATGCTTCAATCATGCAGTGACTTCATGTTGTATGTCGCTGCAGTTGGCTTTTTATTGTCCTCTTCCTCATTATTTCTTGCTAAAACGGCCAGCCACGACAGCCTCGAACAAACGAACACGAGTGACAGCTGGCAACGACAATCTTTGACAGTTCTGAGGGTTTCAGAACTAAGGACACTCTATATAATATAGAATCACAGTGTTTAGAGGGTTCGGAGTTTGATAGTGTAGCGAAATTATGAGGTTGCCGAGCTCATGGCGCAGAATTATTTGGACTTGAGGTCTTGGTCTTCCGGGGCGTGTTGTTTTGACTTTCGGGGTTGAGGTTTCAAGCGGTGTAACATTGAGCCCCCCTCTCACCCACACCCCTTCACCCACCCAATGAATGCTCGTGATGTTCAGCAATTTAGCGACCAAGCAAAAACAGATCTCTGCGAGCGATGCAGCACAGACGACGCGCGGGCAAGATAGCCAAAATGCTACCGAACTGATCTGCCCTTGAAGAACTGCCCGGGTTCGCTTGCGAATCCAAAAGACTTCAACACGCTTCGCAGATAAGACTTCTCTTTCAAAACGATTGGTTGAGCAGATTCCAGGGAGGTCGCGGAACCGAACCGGAACCGATGAACCGAGCCGCTCCCGAACCGAACCGCTGGAATCGGGGACTGCGCCGAACCGAAATGAACCGCACTGAAACCGGAACCTGTCGAACCGAAACCGCGGGCAATTTCTAGTTCGTAATTTCTAGGGTTTGGGTTTTGGTTTCGGGTCAGGGGGTTGATCCCGCCAGCCACCTTTACTTAAAACCCTAAGCCCTTGCACTTTAAGCACCCAACCCCAAATCCAAAAACCTCTAAACCCCCTTGAGCACCCAAAAAACCATACAACTAAAGCCCTAAAATGTATCCCATAAGCCGCCAGACTCTGAAGACCCAAACCCCCCAAACACCAAACCCAAACCCCCCGAGCCCTGAACCCCCACACTGCTAGCCACCTGCCCTCCAAACACGTGCCTTCCAGCCACCTGCCCACAGCCACTGCACCTCAAACCACCTGACCTCCGCTCCAGCCACCTGCCTTCCAGCCACCTGGCCTCCAGCCCCTGCCCCAAGCCACTGCACCTCCACCGTCTGCCCTCCACAGCCTGAAGCCAGACGCTTGTCCAGGTAGAAGAAGAAAACCTTTTCAAGTTTGTTTGCGGCTGCCTTCCTGTCCTGCTCAAGTGCTCAGCTGCAGCCAGCCCCAGGCCAAGGGCCCGCCAAGAACCGCGGACAACCGCGAACCGCAAGAACAAGAAATTCTAAGAAACATGGACCGTGCCGAACCCGACCGCCTTTGAACCGAACCGCTCCGAAACGCCCTTTGCGCAAACAGAAACGAACCGAATGGAACCGTGTACTTCCTGAGATTCACCATTGGCCATCTGCAAGCCATATGGGCTGAACACCACTTCCCTCCAAAACGAATGGACAGCGGCACCACTCGATATGGCCAGCGTTATCCATGTACTTGAACTGGGCCTTCGACACGCAACCTTGGCTCAGAGATGGCAGACAAAGGCTCTATTATCCGTATTATATTAGGGTTATGTTGGGGTAAAGTAAAATGGAAACTATTATCATGGGTTATATAGGGTCTTCTCAGAAAACTCGCAGGTCAGCTAGTGTACGCCAGTGTGCGCTTTAAGATTTCATCTTCCGGTCCCTTCAGCTGCATTGAACGCGGGTGTTTGCCCTTTTGTTTGCCGACAGTTTGAGGCCAAGCGGCGTTCTCTGCCTTTGAGATCTGGCTTGGCATAGATCCCGTTGGTCAGTTCGGCCACGCCCTTCACCAGGTCTTCGAAGCACGGCTTCTCCTTGCCGCTAGCTGTTCAGATGCGGCTCAGAAAGAACACTGAAAAAGCAAAACCATTATCCTGTTCCGCAAAGTTGATCAGCCCCTCCAAGGTCGGGTGGAAGGGTTGGTAGTTGATCTCGGTCACATGCAGAGGTGTTCTCTGAGCAAAACAGGCAGAACAGACCAGGCCCCACTTCCCGCAGCCTTCACACTCCGCGCGTTGTACTTGCCGGGCGGAAGGAGTGCCTTGTGGGCATTGTGCAAGGCGTACTTCATTTGCAGTTCCTCACCTGAGCCCGGCTTGAGCTTCAGATCATTTCCGGGCTGGTCTGTGACTGGGAGAGCGCCAGGTGTCATGTCATAGAATGGGATAATTTGACTGCATTCCCATCTGTGAGTTCACCAAGCCAGGGCGCTTTCGCTCTCAAAGTGCTTGAGTGCTGCTTCTCCGCCGGACAGCTCCAACGCTTTCGCGTATTTATCTTCTGGTTTCTTGAGGCTCTGAAGTACGTCAATGTCGTCGTTGTACTTGCTATCGGCAAGGCCAAACTGGACAGCGAGGAGCAGATACGATTAGTTTTACTCTTGGGGTGCTGGGCCAGATTGCAGCGCTAACCCGGCCTGCCGGCGAAGTTCCTCTAAGGACGGAGGTGCCTTCTCGCCACTGGACTCCTTTCAAAGCTTCGGGCTTCTAAGTTTTCAGAATTTCCAGGGGGGTGGTGGTGTTGGCCCTATCTCCTCTCAGGAAGAACTGGACTGGGACATTGGACCCCGGAAGCTCGCTGGGCAAAAAGAGGAGCGTCTCAAAGCAAGAAACCCCTTGATATCGGTATTGGAGGGGTGGACAGACCCCTTGTATTCTGAGACGCTGCCAACACAAAACCCACAGAAGCCCGAGCATCCCTGGATCTCAAACCTTCGAGAAGGCAAGGCGAATCGCAAGATCCTCAAGTCCCAAACAGCGAGAAACCAGGAGGATCTCTAAGACCCCGCATTTGGCGGTTATATAGGGTTGATTAGGGTTGTATAGGGTTATATAGGGTTCTATAGGGCTCTATAGGGGCAATTGTGCCCTGCTTGCATCAAGAACAGAAGCCTTGAAGCCATCCTTGTTCACCGCGGTTGCTTTCTTTAGCTAGGTGACATGATGTATACAATGCTTTGATGGCTATCACAGAAGCCCATGGCTGTTTGCGGGACTGACCCTGAAGCATGAACTCCTTGCCTTCCCTTCGTCGGGCTTGCTGTCAGTCTCCTGCAGAGTTGAGCTTCAAGCTGAGAAGTTCATTCTGACTTGCGCTGGATAGTGCTCAGAACCTGGCAAGAAGCTCGGTCCCTTCCCACCTTTGTTCCCAACCTACGGACAACACCAAGGACAACTTTCGGAATCACTTCACTTGCAATCATACAGCGATCAGAATGAGAAGATGAATAAAATTGACACTGACCATCAGAATCATAGTCATAACATCACGAACCAACCAATCTGCTCAGCTTCATAATATACCGCCCTCGGGCTAACTGCAAGGCACTCCTTTGTCCTTTCTTAACCGTGAACCCTAAACCCGACATCCGAAATCCTAAACCCACTGCTCCTGGCTCGAAATGCTCTCTCGCAGCTTGTCAGAGATGCCTGGTGCACGGCTTCGGCCAGCAAGGGTTCAGGGCTGAGATTGCTGGTTCCTAGCAGGGACTATGTGAAAAACAATCCCTACATATATATATATATTTCTTTAACTCCCATATTCCCTACTAAGAACCAGTGGGTGAAGATTGCCAAGGTTTGGGGTTTTAGGTTTTGGGGTTGTTTCAGGCGTCCGTTCCAGGGTTCGGTGGCTCAGGATGTCGGATCCGAAGGTTGTACGGTCACCAGGCTGTTGAGGGAAGAACTCAAGTTTCGCACAATCGTCGTCTTTTTTTGCAAAGGCCTAACACTCGCATCCAGGACTCATGGATCCTGGGAGGACCTGGCCGAACCTTGCTAAGTTCTTTTCCAGTGACTGTCCTCAAAACGGATTTAAGCTTGGATAGGCAATCAGTCCTCCCCTCCCCGGTTGTGGCGTGATCCCTTCCGTAACACATGCTGCACCCCGGCCTACCAAAAAAAGATGCAAGGTCCACTTCCTTGCAGACGAGGAGCTTGCTGCGAAACGCTCGACAGCGGAGTCCAACGTCTGCAGCCTTGATGAGAAGCTCAGGGATTGGGATGGGTGCTTAGCAGTTTCCAGTTAGGATCTCTCCAACATGGTAGCCAAGGGATCTAGGCCGTTGAAGTATGCCTATCATGTGCTAGGCTTGACTCGTATAGAGGGGGCCCAAAGGTGTGCATCGTAAACCTAGCACCATGTCCCCAAGCTTCCGACAGGTGAGTACCCGTTTTTGGAGGTTGAATCAAGTAAGATTGGTTTTTTCTCGAATACCGTACCCCAAAAGCAGGATAGAATCTTGTTTTATATATCTAGGGAGTATAGCCCAAATGAAATACTACACAGGTGGCCGTTCCGTGGAAGTGACCGCGCATCCGAATCTTGTTG